CCCCCCAGTACCACCAATCCCAGACCCTCTGGTGACACTGACCGCTGGTACCCCACAGTCTGTCCCAGACCCCCTGGTGCCACCGACCCTGGGACACCATTGACTGCTCCAGTCCCCCAGTGCCACTGATCCCAGACCCTCCAGTGCCGTCGACCCCGGGTATGCCACAGTCTGCCCCAGAACCCCCAGTGCCACTGATCCCGGGGTGCCATTGACTTTTCTGGTCCCCCTGGTGCCACCAACCCTTGGACCTCCTGGTGCCTCCGACCCTGGGACACCATTGAGTGTCCCGGTCCCCCCGGTACCACCAATCCCAGAGCCTCCAGTGCCACCAAGCCCTAGTACTCCACAGTCTATCCCAGACCCCCCGGTGCCACCAATTCTGGGACACCATTGACTGTCCTGGACCCCCCAGCACCACTGATCCCAGACCCTCCAGTGCCACCAACCCCTGGTAGACCACAGTCTGTCCCAGACCCCCCCAGTGCCACTGACCCCAGGGCACCATTGACTTCTGTGGTCCTCCTGGTGCCACCAACCCCTGGACCTCCCAGTGCCACCGACCCTGGCACACCATTGACTGCTCCGGTCCCCCCGGTGTCACTAATCCCAGACCCTCTGGTGCCACTGACCTCTGGTATGCTACAGTCTGTCCCAGACCCCCCCGGTGACACCGACGCTGGGACACCATTGAGTGTCCCGGTCCCCCCAGTACCACCAATCCCAGACCCTCTGGTGCCACTGACCGCTGGTACCCCACAGTCTGTCCCAGACCCCCCCAGTGCCACAGACCCCGGGGCGCCATTGACTGCTCTGGTTCCCCCGGTGCCACCAACCCCTGGACCTCCCAGTGCCACCGCGGTCCCCCCGGTGCCACCAATCCCAGACCCTCTAGTGCCACTGACCCCCAGTACAGACCCACAGTCTGTCCCAGCCCCCCCCGGTGCCATTGACCCCGGGACGCCAGTGACTGCTTTTTGGAAGGGGACATCCCTGGGTGGGAGGTCTGGGATTTGGGAGAGCATCCTTGGGGTGTCCAGTCCCCTGGGGCATCCCTGCAGGGTCCGGTCCCCAAGGGACATCCCTGGGGGGGGTGGTCTGGTCCCTGGGGCCACCCCTGCAGAACATGGGTATCCCATCGGGGTCTGGTCCCTGGGGGTACCCCTGTGCTGCCCCGGAGGGGCTGAAGGCCCCCTCTGCCCATCGCGCCTCGGGGTGATGCTGTGGGGTCCCACCAGCCGGGCGCGCGGAGATGACCGCCCTCACCCACGGCCACCAGTGCCTCCGCCGTGCCGTCCGGTGGCTGGAGGGACAGTGCCGGGTGCCGGAGACCC